CTTGGCGCTTAACATGGCATATCCGACTTTATCTTTATACTGGGCGCTTGCTATCAATCTTCTTCCGGTCGGCATCTTTATTTTGCTTTGTTACGTAGCTAAAGGTGATACACAGGTAAGAAGCTTTGATAATCGATTCGTAAAGTATAAATCTCTTTGGAAAAAATCTCACCGTTTAGTTTAAGTCAAATATAGATATAAGCAACACTCCATATTATCCTCTTTGAATAGTGGGTTCTTGTGCGTTGGCCCCCCACATTTCTTTGCCCAAACAAAACCAACAGTTTGATCCCGAACATGCTGAAGGGACAGACGAAACGTTCAAATTAGCTTGTGTAGGCCGGATTGCAATAGAATGGTGCTTTGCAAGGTTATTTATACCACTCCCGCTTATGACTTCTGATCATTGTGAATGAAATGTCATGTTTTATTAAACTTTAAAAGAAATTTGAATACTGTTTTCGAAAAGATATATTATAAGTTAAGCAACTAAAATATAAACCATTTTATTTAAAAAATATTGATATAAAAATAAATTATCGGAGAATTAATTGATTAATTCTTTAACGTATGATATTGTTGTAACAGCTAGCGTATGCCGCTGTTCTATCTACGGTCTACTCCCTCGTGATGATGCTCGTAATTGTTGGATTGCTGAAACAGGCTGCAGACAACGGTTTCTGTTCTGTAACGACACTGTTTCTGTGCTTTGTTGCCGGGGTGTTTATCCTTGCCGCCTTTATACACCCTCAGGTATGTCAGCTTATTTCATGCTTAGAATACTTTCAATTTTCCGATAGATTTGTTGCACGGTGAGTATGTGAGGCTGAGCTCTGATTTCAGCTGAATGAGCGAGTTTTGTATAGAAGTGTGGTGTTTATTATCGCCGTTCCTGGACTAGTTTCTCTTAAAACTATGTATTTTCAATATCCTAATCATAATTCTAACGAACACAACTCAACCAATTCCCGCCAAACGAATAGAAAGAAATTATATGTGCTGTAAATTATTTTATTATTTGTAGGAATTTTGGTGCCTCCTTCATGGTTTCCTGTATTTTCTTGCTATCCCGTCAATGTCCATGCTCCTCATGCTATATTCCATTGGTAATTTACACGTGGTCTCTTGGGGAACCAGAGAAACGCCGAAACCTGCTGCGGGTAATGTATATGTTACGTCATTTCCGGTTTGCTTAAATTGGCGGTTGATGATCACTTGGGAAATAAACTTTAAAAAATCCCCCTTGGCTTATAATGTTAATCATTATATTCATGCCTGCAGGTTTTCAATAAGATATTGATTATTTTATATAATGTTCATAAGTTTGTTAAATGTTCGTTTACAAAATATTTAACAGTCGGTTTAGTAAGTAAAGTGGTGGTTTCACGCATGCGCCACTCACCTTATCTTCATCATTTCAGTATCACTGTACTTTTGCTTAAACCAGTGAGACAATTTCATGTAACACACAAGGTAATGTGGCATATCCAGCAAATGAAGATTATTATAAGAAAACTGAATACATTATAATCTCAAAACTGTTTGAATTTATTTATTTTGTGTAAAACTGTTTAAAATAAATATATACATATTAATATATAACAGCACCTAAACCCGGAGAAGTGAAGAAACAACCGGAGAAAAAAGGGGCAGTTCAAGAGTGGCTACAAAAATTAGGTCTAGCAGAAAAGGCGGGAAAATCAGACTACATGTTTTCATTCGGAAATCTTTGCAGGCAAGTTATGCACCACAATTTTAATTATTAATTAATAATATAAAAACGTGCATAATTGTAGAGCCTAAAACCACAGGGAAGATATATCTAGATATATACTAAGAACATGCAATTGGAACGGAAAAATAAAACGGAAACAATTTTAAATCAAACCTTAAGTGCATTCTAAAAATAGAACCTTTCTTATTGGCCATGTTTTTAAACGAATCAAAATGCTTTGTTTTCATATTGGCCATGTTTGCCATTAGCATATTGGCCATTAGCTTTGGTATTGTCAGATTGGCTTTGTGGTTTAACATTTTGGCTTTAAACTTCTATTAAAAGCGTGACAGAAAAGCAGATGCAATATTTTGATCGTTTTTAGGTAATAATGTTTTACTCAAATATGTAAAAATGTCTTCAACGATAAGGCGGTTATTGTTTATGGTAAGAGTGGATGCTTATACCATCGTTAGAATCCACGGGTACTAATTCCGCTAAACTACATTCACAACTTGTGAATGAAATATACACGTAACGTGCATGTTTGCGTGTACGGACGATGGCATATACACGATCAATATACCACCCTTTGTAACCAAGGCATGCACGTTAGGGAACAGTTGACTGTCATAAGACTTAAAGAACTAAATATTTGATTTAAAGAAGTAGATGAATAGACTTCAATAAGCATTGGATTGCTTCCAGTCAAATACTTTTTATTTTGATTGTAAATGCATTGCATCTTATGTGACGAATAAAATATGTTTGAACCAAGAGAAGTTAGCTTTAATATGTATTGACAAGTTTTCTAAGGTGGAACTTTGTAACATACGAAACATGTTTTTACTAAATACAAGGTGTGTCTGCTGTCCCTCGGAAACCAAGGATACGGAGGACATAAAACTGAGGGCGATACTTGACCGTCTAGATGACATGGAGGCTAGAATCATAGACTCACCAGAGAGCCACCAATCAACCGAGCTCGAATCTGAACGTCACGTGCACTTTTCGGAAGCCTCGGATTTGTTCGAAGGATCAAGAGAAAGGAGTAGGATATAAATAAAATTGAGCCGCGTCATGACAATACCAACATAATGGGTTTGCGACCAGCATGGATCCAGACCAGCCTGCGCATCCGCGCAGTCTGATCAGGATCCATGTTGTTCGATATCAGTTTCTCTACTGGATCCATGCTGGTCGCAAACGCATTACGTTGGTTTCTGTCGTGACGCGGCTCAATTATCATTTGAAGATTTTTGTCAATATATGGTTTTAAATTATAAAAGAAAATGTTCATGATTATTTAAATCACGAATTACATGGCATAAATGAATACTTTTAAGACATATTCAAATATACTGCTTAATTGTTTAATTTTAAATTCATATTAAATATGCCATTTTAAGAGAATAATAATGATTTGTTGCTGTATATATCCCTCTATGTTTTGGAAAATGTTTCCTATTTTCTAGAGTATTTTGTATAATTATCCTTTACTTAATGTATACCCTATCTGCTCAAGTTTAACTCCTTCCTATTAACCATATACATTTTGTATTTAGTTATATAAGTATTAAGCAATATTACACATGTAACTTTTATATTATAATTATATTAAGCTGTAAAAGTAATACATAGACTAATATATGTAATTCCTTCACTTTGGATAATACGTTTGTATTATATCATTTGTAGATCTATCTATTAATCCGTTATAGGTGATATATATGGAACACAACATATTTTATAAGATTACTACAAATTGTATAACTATGGAATGAAAACCGCTACGAAATTCATTTGATTTATGAAATTTATTGACCATTATAATATCTATATAAATATTTCTTACTATAGCCTGTTGTATTACTATTTGGTATTAGTATAATTCGTTCTGTAGAACTTAATTATAAGCATGATTATATATACTCTATATATTTCAAATAATATGAGAACTTTTATATATATCGTAATCATAGGAACTCGAGAACAGGACCGCAGATTGCGGCGTATATTTTCGATCTTGTAACGGTTTTTTAAATACGATTCTGCTACATCTAAATATCTTTTAGTATTATCCGAGTGTATGGACTCAAAAAATATATTATCAATTGAACCCAATCTGTCTCTTTTAAAATTGGTCAAATTTTACGGTATTATATAAAAAGACAAGGAGTGACATCCGCCATTTGCCGCAACGTTTTCGGCATGAGTTTTTCCCCTTTGGCTATAATTGATTACTATTTTTTCAGAATTTTGTTCCCGTTGTTTTTGTCAACTATCAGGTATCGTCCGGATATAACGTTAACGGTTTATTGTTTGTACACGTGTTGACATGTATAGGCGGCATTATAACGGGCGTATTCGTGTATTGATTTGTTAAAATGGAGAAAACAGACACTTTAGTAATATGGTCCAACTGATTTTGTCTAACTGAAAAAAGGAATATTTAAACATGATCCATAGATAAATATTTTAGGCACTCATCTCGTATTCATTACTAGAAAAATTAAAACAAAAATCAAGCATATCAAGGGGGGTAACTTACGCCGAACGTTGCGGCAAATGGCGGATGTCACACCTTTTCTTTTTGCAATATACCGTATATTTGACTGATTTTTAAATTAGCAGATTATATTTAATTGAGATTAGAAAAATAAAGACCACCCGCTCGCATAATATGAAAAGATATTCAAAGGTCGGACAAACAATATGTAAAGCCGGTACGGATTCGGATTTATGCGCCGCAATATGCGGTCCTGTTCCAGAGTTCCTATGATCGTAATTTGTTCAATATAATCATTTATTTCACACCTTACCAATGAACTTCCAGCATTTGAACCACGTGATGTTCCAAGAAATCCTAATTGGATCCAATCTTATCCAACTTTGTTTCCATTCCCCATGTCCAAAATTCAATATCAATTGCATATTGTATTTTATCTTGCCCGTTTTCACTATTCAAATCCAAACATATCCGTATCAATTCCATAATGTAATACATGTATATATCTGTGCTCGTTATTTTGCAAGTCAAAATCGTTCCAAATCAAATCGATATTTTAATCGAAGAAACTGTAATACAATTCACACATACTGTTTATTTTGAGACCTTTCTTTAATTAAATGTGTTTCTCTATTGTGGTGTGAAATAAGATTTCTTTATATATTGTTGAGTACCATACTGATTATGTTTTAATCGCTGGAAAATGTGCAATGGACACGAGAAGCGCCTTGTACACTATAGGTTTTACAGACATGTATTCGTCCAATAAAATTCAGAATTGTACTTAGCAATTTATAATAACTTAATAATATCTAGAAAACTAGAGCAGCCAGTCAGCAATACATTTTGTATTGCATGCCGCATGTTGTATATATATACATGTATATACCCATTTATATCCTCCCTCTTTTGTTCTTTTTCTCCCAAAACCCCAAACTTCACAGTCAACCCTCTTTTTGAAGAGGAATCCACGTCCAATAAACCTCCGCCTCGACATTGGATCAATGACAAAGAGTTGATGATGGGCGCCGTTGAGACGATACCGGAAAAGGAAACAACATTCTGGCATGAACTTATAAAGACATACCTATATCCGCTTGAGGGCGACAAGAAAGAACAGGAAAAGACCCAAGCGGAATTACTTGAACTTAGGTTTGAATATCACATTTTTAAAGATTTGTTTTACTAATCGACATATGCATTCAATACATTTTACCAATCATAATATTAGCTTGTGATAGTTTATATGATGCACCAAAAAAACTGAAGCCATTGTCATAATCGACACCCACGTACTAAATCCCCATACAAACAATCTCCCTCATACCGCATGTTAAGACATTATTTTTATATGGTTTATTATGAACATCACTCTTGATATCTTTTTACTCAGCTATTATAAATTTGGTCGTAAAAGTAGATTCGGAAGTAAATGATCTGTTAAAGAATGCACTACCTTTGTATGTTCTGTTAAATGTGTATTTGCGTGTTTTCTGCTAATGATGAAATGCCCTGTCTGATTTACGTTGCCTTTTAAATACTGGAATGTGAACTAAACATTTGTATGATTTTTTTTCAGGAATACAGTTTGCTTGTTTTTCCTACTTGTGAACGCATTGTTTGTGGTAATTGTGTTCAGTCTACAACAAGTGAACGCTGACTCCGGAGGCTCGATATCTATTGAGTTACCTTGTGCTAATGGGAACTTTGGAGAAGCAATCGAGCCAATCAGCATGGCTTTTACAGCCGTCTTTGGGCTTCTTTTGGTTTGTAGATTTTTTATTAAATTGTAGTGTATTATTATCAACTTTTAGGTGGAACATAGCTTTTAAAGGTTTGTAAAGATATGAAAAGCGAACACTTTATCAAATTTGTATTTTAAACCTATACGGACCTTCTAAGTGACATTTTTTAACAGGTTTTCCTTTATTAACATTGTTATGTCAGCTGTCCGACATGTAAACGGACGAACGATGTGTTCGGTGCTAATGCGCGCATCGCAATGTCTAACAACAATTAATGCGTGTATATCTTTACCATTCTGTACGTTTGTAACGTTATTTTTCCAATGGACAATAGTGAGAATTCTATGGTTTATATACAAATCTGCTGCAATTTTATGCACCAATTTAATTTGTTAGTTAAAAAGATTTTGACGGGCAATATGGCCCTATATAAACGGTTGTTTGAATATATAGCCCGAGCCGCAATATAAATATACAATGTACATTGTCAAGATTCTTTACGGTGAATACTGGGCTATAAAACTAGTCGAAAAAAAAACGTTTCATGTAACGAATTTACAAATTTTCCACAACGCATTTTTAACTGGGGAGAAATGAAAAGTATTTCATTACTGGCAGTATATAGACATTATTATATAAACGTTACAAATTACATAATTATTAATAGTTTTATACATATATATTCAGTATACATGTATATCTTTAATTTTCGTATACAATCACTCTAATTAATTATTTATTGTTAACTAAACTTACTTTGTTTTCTGTCTAAAAAAATTTAGAAATTGATTTGGAAGTTCCCATATACATGTTTCCTTTGATCTTTACCACAGTTGATTCAGCTATTCTGTATGATACTACATCGGATGTCAACGTTCCTACAGATCTGCTCTATCACGGAAATCAAACTCAGGCGTCCAAAACAACTTCAAGCTGAAGAAAAAGAAATAAGTGTTGAGAAGGGCCTGAGACTTGTCCGAGATATGCAGGTGAATTTCTAAAGATTTCAATAATTATGTCATAATAAAATTCTGGAAACAAAGTGATCCCTCGGAAGCATTAATTACAACAAAATAACATAAGAATTGCAGACTCGGTTTGATTGAGTCTGTACATGAGGGATAATGTATAAGTGCAACATCCCTCACGCCCCCTAGCACCGGCTTGAGCGGTACTCAATTCTCAACACTTTATAGTGTTGGCATCAATGATCCCGAAGGACCAGAAAATATAACAACACTGAAGTGAAGTGCGGGGCAACTTTTTACGGCTGCCACACGGCACTTGACACCTGCTGTTGTGAAGTACAAAATTCTGGAAACAAAGTGATCCCTCGGAAGCATTAATTACAACAAAATAACATAAGAATTGCAGACTCGGTTTGATTGAGTCTGTACATGAGAATAAGTTTTATTTCATTCCATACGACATAAGCATTGCCTCCAAACTAAGTGTAATACCAAAACGAAACGTTTCATTCAGCTGCCAACGTAATTGAGATAGGGCGACAGCACCGTCGCTTTTCAATGTTTTTGACATTGTTAATTGGTTCATCAATAATATTGATTTTACTATATTTCAATATCCGTTTCAATACTAATTTCGATTGCAGTTTCAGGATAGATGATAATAATTTGCATAGCTCTATGTTGAGTTAATTAAAATTTAAAGTTTACCAAAAACAATCGTTCATTTAGGGATATTTTGCGGTTCTTGTTTAATAGCGCTACATTTACGAGTAACACTCAATATATATCATGTGTGTTTGGTTGGTTAATTTTACGGCGCACAAACACAGTATAGGACATACAGGAATTTTGGCTAACCTCGGGAGTTACAAACTTCAAAGCAACACCAATGGTCAAAACCACCTCAGCTGCTGGAGCTAAGAGTTCCTCCAGTTATTCGAACCTATTAAGTCTCTTACTATCACGCAGAGAAAAACGGTGGCTTAACTCTTATGTCTCAACCGCAGGGATTCGGCACTGTGTTGGAGTAGTGTAAAAAAGTAATTCTAGAAAAAAATATATTGTATATATTATTATATTTACAGTATTATAGTTTTCTAGAATTACATTTTTACACAATCCCAACACTGTGCCGAGTCCATGCAGCCTCAACCATAAAAGGCAGCCTCTCAGCTGCAAGGAGCATATATACATCATGTAATATATATTTGTAATGCACATTATGAATAATCCTTCAAAACACTCACAATTTTGTTCAGGGTATTAAAGACGATGACACTAAATCCGTTGTATCCGAGGATCTGAGTATTTCTGATGACAGGTCTTCAGTTGGTACAGTAGAAGGTGAAGGCAAAAGAGACTTGTGGAAGAAAATTGCAAATAGACGTAGAGAGCAAAAGTTTGGAACACTGAGTCAAAACTTTGTTAAAAATTTCAAGTATGTTTTAATTTTTCTATCTCTTTAGGGGTGATGAGTGAAAACGTTTCAAATAATTCAAGGTGTATATGAAAATAATTCAAGAAACAATAACAATCATATTAAAATATACTATGCTCAAATTTGGTATTATAAAACATTGATAATTGCTACACGGTCCCTTTTGTAAATATAAAATAAACATGTTCTGAGTTCACAAAAATTAGAAAGGTTCTGTTTTAAACTCTACACACTATAGTTGGACACAATATGAATATAAAGTGTGGGTTTTTTGTGTTTTGCTTGTTTATTTATTTTGTTGTTGTATTTTGCTTTTTGATTTTTTAAAGATAAGAAAAACATTACTTGACCTGTAATAACGAACGCAGCTACCTATACATAGTTTATTCATTCTTTTATTTAAACTTGATATATTCAGTAAGAATTTCATGGATATATAATATATTTCTCCGACTAAAATATTTTACTCAAGAATGAGCATTGTAAATCTTTAAGGGTAAAATAGTTAAATTAGGATTCTTCATTGTATGAAAGGAAAACTATTAAATAAATAATTGGCTTTCTGGTGTACAAATAACTGATTTACTTGATTTGAATCGTAATTAAAGAAAACTTCAAAAGCATATGGAAGATCATGAGATGGGATCAACGCTGCATGTTAATAGAGGCGTGGGTAGTGTTAACGGAGGTCTCGGTGCTGTAACAGAAGAAGACGATCAGGAAGATGTGCAACAACTGAGAAGTGTGAAACGGAAATTTAATCGATTTGAAAGAAAGAGTATCTTTACGATTGTTCAAATGTCACGTGACCCAAGGTAAGAACGTGCCAATGTGCATATAGAAATCATGTTATAGTTTTTAATTTATATTAATATTATTGTACTGGTCTGTGAATACGTAAATGTTCCATTAAATAGTCAATAACAAAATAATAAAAATAAATGTGATAATTCATATGAATTGCTAATTTAATTGTTATAATAAACGTTTCTTTTATAATGTTTTTTACTTAACACTTCCATTGTGCAAACATGTTTAACACTAACGTCAACAATATCATGAGTAATATACAAGCCTTATTAGATTCATCTTTTAATTATAAACTTTATTATAATTTAGCATTATTTCTTCGCTTTATTAACAGATTAAAGCAATCAATTCTACAACGTGGTAATGTTGTTACAAGTCGCTGGCGACGTGCTGCATTAAAAGCCAAGCTACGAGCAGCGGCAGAGCAGGCTGCAAACAATGGGAACAAAGATACTCCAGACGGCAAACCAAAAACAAAAGTTTCCATCCTAGATATAACGCGACTTGCTGTGGCTGACAGGGACAGCAATGTTCCGTCACCTTCTGAATCTGATGACGAGCTAGTTGATCAGAAAAGTAGACTGTGATATTTAATAGTACCTCAGTACAGAATTTAACCTAAGTAAATACTGTGATCTAAGTATATATTGTGATTCCAAGTACAATTATAACTTCGAAATACTCCTCCGTATAAATCATGACCATAGTATATACTGTAACCTCAGTAGAGTTTGCGACCTCAGTATAGATAGTGTATAACTTTATTTAAAGGAACTCCACTGAGGTCCAAAAGCCTGAACACATAAAATGTGAATTTATTACACAAAGTCCTATTTGGGTTAAAAGCACTGCAACTTTTTTCAATTATGGGTCTCTTTATTAGAATTCTGATAAACCGTGAGAAGTGAATGATCTGAAATTTTACACAAAATTTAAACTATTTGTCAAGACCTAACTGAAATGGAACATTATTTTCGAAAACTTATTTCAATTCCCATCATGTCAAAAAAACTTCAGTGGAGTTCCTTTGTAATGATATGTAAATACATGAGAGGATTTCTTTATATGTGTTAAATATACTTAATAAAATAACAAAGTTGTCTAATAATAATAAATGGGATCAACGCTGCACGTCAATAGAGGCGTGGGTAGTGTAAATAATGTAGGTCTGTGTAACAGAAGAAGACAGCATATGTAGACAAAAAATAACCGATTTGAAAGAAAGAATATTCAACTGAGTGTGAACAAAAATGTTATATTTCATTTATAATTATCGTTTTATATATGTTTCTATTACATTCATTTCATAGCCTATTTTTTTTATATGTTTAACACTTTTATATATACTCATATTGTTAAAAACTGCATTTTTGTAATTTATTATTAATTTCATATATTTGATTAACATCAAAGCCATAAAGTTGACTTATTTAGTGGCATGGGCTAATTCGAAACATAATCTCTTACGTGTGTAAGGTACGTAGTGTTAACGAAAGGAAGCAACTTTTATGTATTGATAAGTGAATGTGTTTTAGTGCGGAGAGCACGAGAGTATGTATGAAGAGATGTGTGTAACCAGTATAGTTTATACTTTTCTATTGAAATTTGTTTAAGAACACATTATAATTTCAGGCAAAATATCTTATTTAAAATGATATGTTTAATAATTTAATCGGAGTTTGATTAAAATGGATTAAGAAAAGTAAAACATTTCAAGTTTTGATTTAAGAATACCCCCAAACATGTAAGTACAATTTATGTTGGTATAATTAGCTTATATATAATAATGTGTGTTTGTTTAATATCTTGTTTAGTATATAAATAAAAATATAAATGTAAATAACCAAGATATAAATCTTAACCAGTTTCCTTTACATTCACTAAAATGCAATGAGGTTAATCTATTTCATATTAAAAATTTGTTAAACAGTCTACCGAATGCACCTATCTTGTACGTTGATATACTCAAAAGGAGCGCGGTATTTCAAATGAACTCAAACCGAGTCTGCAATTTTAATGTAATTTTGTTGTGATAAATGCTTCGAAGGGATCACTTTATTTCCTAATTTTTATCTATTTACTTTGGTCAGTCAGCTTTAATTTTACCATTTTCAAAATTTGATTCGTCTAGCACCTAATTCAGACTTCTTCTTTATCCACATCCATGGTTCAAACTTGCAAAAACGACTGCACTGATTTTTTCAAATTACGTCAATTATGCAAAAACGACTGCACTGATTTTTTCAAATTACGTCAATAATGCAAAAACGACTGCACTGATTTTTTCAAATTACGTCAATAATGCAAAAACGACTGCACTGATTTTTTCAAATTACGTCAATAATGCAAAAACGACTGCACTGATTTTTTCAAATTACGTCAATAATGCAAAAACGACTGCACTGATTTTTTCAAATTACGTCAATAATGCAAAAACGACTGCACTGTTTTTTTCAAATTATGTCAATAATTGATGGATACCGAAGACGAATATCATTTTATTGTATATATTCAATGCTAACCATGAATTAAAGAATTCAGTTGACAAACGCCATTGTTATCATGGAGCTAATAAAATAATTTGTTTCAAGCTAAGTTCATTTGCCAAAACATTATTTACTAGTATTCAATATCAACACGGAATATAGACCAGCTTGACAAATGGTAATCAGGGCAGCCTGACCGTTTTGTCATTTTTTCTACCGAATTCAAAAAAATCATGTCACATTTATATATATGGGCACATAAAAAAATCACGATTCTTAACCACGTCTTTTCCGGTTTCACTTAATATATCACTATTTGTCAACTGAATTGAATGTGATTTTGAAAAGTAGGGGCCATTTCATGTGCCAAAGATTAACCTAATATAATTGCCAGACTCGAACAATGACTGCAAATTTTCATATATTTTTTTCCGATTTATTTTCAGATTTATTTCAATTCGACATTAAATTTGTGAGTCAAATCTTTTTAAATAACAGTGTGTTTCGAACTATTTCAACATAATTTAACTTTTATGAAAATATGCTAAAACATCACTACATTCACTAGATACGTTGGACATAGTCAATCTATAACATTTAGCATTCATTTTTCTATAAAGCAATGGAAAAGAACGGACGACTTGCTAGAAATTGCTTGTTGTGATAAATGGGTGTGTATACTAGTCTATGAGAACAAAACTCAACTCGAATATTCTCAAAAAAACATCCAGAGGTTTTCAAAATTTTAATTCACCGTGGGTAGCCGATATAGTTACTCTGCGCCTTATCTTATCAAAATCGGTTGAGTTACAGCAAAGTTAACCTGAATCAGTGACAAATCTGCGTGTACCGTACCCGAAAAGTCACTTGGTATGGCCACATTGTTAGAAAGGGCACATCGCGGCATTACACAAGGGGAACTGACAGCCATATTTTTCAGGCAATCGGCTTGTAACTCATATCGTAACGCGCACTCCTAGATCTATTACATTGGCCAGTCTGCAATAAAATCTAACGCTCGGATAGGTTACGATAGGCTAAATTTGTTATGTAAATTAATGATTTTACTAAAATTAGTCAATTTAAACAAACAAAGAACAAAACGCATCACTTGATAAAGTATTTGACACTCCCACATCTGTAGGCCTTGTATCGCGGATGTTCGTCATTTTCCTCCAAGTTACAGCACTTTCAAAACCGTAAAGAAATCGAACCAAGGGGTAGCCCACTGATGGGTTTTGAAAATTGGTGCATTTAACTGAAGTTCTTAGAAATCGAAAAATTCGCTTATACATAAATGACACAACTCAGCCCTGATGGGCATCTGGCGCCTTTTCTTCTTTTTCATATCGTCATGTGTCTGGACGTAACGGGGCGCCTCTAAGCTAAAAATTGCATGCACTAAATTGAACTAATACCATGTTGCTATCGTCGTCTGTTTTAAATCTACATAACCGGCAAACTGCACGTACTGGTTAATTTGCATAAGAATTGGACCAACGGGTATTTCACGGTGGGCTCTTTAATGTGATTCATTTCACGGAAATTGGTAGTTTTTTTATATAAAAAACAAATCAAAGAACCTGAATAAGACGATGACACGCGGGCATCTTGCGATCATATTGCTTGGGCTATCATCGTGTACTTTAATTATATCGACAATACGATAACTGAACCGCCAAGTCCGCAATGCAATCGCGAAAATGGATTTGCCAGGATGGGCTATGGCAAGTTGTGCTTTTTATACGAAACATAATGTCCCTTGTCATGCAGACTTATCAGGGTCATGTTTCATAGACCCTCGTCATGCACCTCATATCGCCTTAATGGGTGGCCCCAACCTGCAACACAGTCAGGCGAACCTGTAGTCTCAGTGGGCTCTTGAAATTAACAAGTACAAATGTTGATGCAATGCAGCAATTGAGAAGCTCCGCGTAAAAAATGCGCTCATTACAGATACCTTACCAAATTATTCCTACGCACAGGTCATGTTATATTCAGATTAAGTACTATTTTAGATTTTTTCCGAATGTTTTGTAAACAATTTTTTGCATAATTATACTTATCTTATGCACTGTCCATAATTAAAAAGAGGGGAAAGATATTTAATATAAAAATGCTTTCACAGATGCCTACCTGGTAAGGAAAGTAATTCCATTGAATACAAAAAAGACTTACAAGACTTGTAAATGTTATGTGACATGACTGCACTGTGTTCTGTTTGTGTCACTACTGTAGTCAGTAACATAAGATGATAAAAATATCAAAGTCTGTTTTTTATTATTATAATTGTAACAAATATACAAATAGTAACAAAAGGGACTAATATAATATAGTAATATTACATGTACTTTTTTCATGTCAAATTAAAAAAAAATGGTTTCTTTCAATACTGAAAGTAGAACAAACTCTGGAATGAAAAAATGGGATGAATTTCAAAAAGACCAGATTCAGGAATTTTTTGTTTGTTATACACGCGTTACATGGTGATACAGTATTTATCAATATATTTAGAATCGGAGAATGAGATCAAAATGAAAAAAAAATATATCAATATGTATTATTAAGCACAAAGATAATTTTCTTACAGAATATTGCTAGATTGAGTAAAACAGTTTTGCTTTCTCTAATCATTAACTTTGCAAAATTAATAATGTTAGGTCTATGAAAAAATGAATTTTTCTCAGGCATTGAAAATAGGAACAGTCAAATAAATAATGAAATTCAAAGTAGTATGTAGTACCAATGACGCATGTATGTATGAGTACGGACCCCGGACATGTCACCAGTCATGCCCTTAAAGAGTTAATTTTGAAGCACAAAATGGTGACAATTCACCTCCATGCAATTTCCACGGAGTATTAGCCTAAGATGTGAATTTTGAGCCAAAAGTAGGTCACTGTACGGCGGTCAATGAGAACCTAAATGTACAGTAACCTGTGACAATAGGAAAGGTGTTTAGCCCTGAAAAGGGATGTTGGTGCCAGCTATAGGCCTGCCTTACAAGCCGTCTATCTGTACTAGGGGCTCACGCACCCTAGTACACCATCCACGTCGTCTCAGCCTACTTTGTAGGGCCACTCCCCTGTAGGGCCACTCCCCTCGGCATTAGTCAGGACATCGGCAGCTGGTCCGCAGAAGTGACGAAGTAGGATTCCGTAGTTAACGCCCACGGTTGAAGGCTACGTTAAAGTTATCTACCAGCCAAGTTGTAAATCTTCTGCCGATGCCCTGTGCCTTCTCAGCGACGTGCACGCTCCGAGGGGAAGTGAGAAGTACCAATGACGCCAATGAAATGTAACCTTATATACTAAAGTTTAATTATTTCAAAACAATCAATATATCAACATGTTATTAATAAACATTTAGTTACATAAATATAAATTAAGAATAATTATCAAAAGCAAAATTATTTAAGTCTTATGCCTGAAATCTTCTTTATATTGACAAATTCAATCACTAATAGTATACTTGATATTGTATGTAAATGTAATTCAAAATGTAACAAATTGTAATTTCATGTACTACAGAAAAAGGGAAATAACAAATTTATAACCTAAGTGTCAAAAATCAGAACATTTATAGCTATTTATAGCTTTCGAATTCATGTACAGCAGAACTGCTTTCCGGTTCTCATTCATTAATATGATATGCTGCGAATCACCGAAGGGGAAACCAATATAGACATCGAAAGCAGTTCTTGAATGCGGATTTATTTTTAGCTGTAAATCGAAGGGATTAATTGATCAAATCCGGGCCCATGGACAAAAAAATAGTAAACACAAATAGCTCCGCGTCTGTGGGCGCGGAGCAGTAAGGTACGATAATTCGTAGAGTAAATGCACTGAATAAAGCCCAAGTGACGCGAGCATCTGGCAGTCATGTTTCTTAAGCTATCGCCACATGCCTTATCTTATATCAACATAACAGGAAAAATCCAAGCTATTGCATTGGCGAATAAGCAAAGAAATCGAACCAAGGTTTGCATTAATTTATACGCGGAGCGCCAAGTCAATAAATGCGCGACAAACTTTAAAACGAAAGTTTGTAGTGACTCGGTACAGAAGTCACATGCATGTTTATTTTTTTTTTCTCATTTCCCTATCTTGACTTTATGTAGCAATCACGTGACACGCACCTGTCCAACACATTGCATATTGTATTCATTGAATTACGCAAATTTTCAATTTTGTCGATTTCGCACAGAACATCGTTTTGAAATGCTCATAGTGATGTCCAACATCGAAATCATGGGGAATATACCAAAGACAAAAGAGAGAAAAAAAGGTTAACGTTCCCATTCCTCGTAATAAAAGTCTACAGGGAAAACAATGCATACGAATAATGATTTAAGTTTAAAGGAAATATTTATCTAAATAATTGTATAATTTGTAGGAAGGGTGAGTATGTGGATTTTATACTTGTTTTGTAAAAATATTTATAAAACTAGATAATCACCCGTTATGATGTGTAAAAATGTTGATGAAATGAAATGCGTGTTTTCATTTTCTGTTCTATCACTGTAAAATTTTATTTTTCACTGCAGTGAAACATATTTTCCGTATTTTCAATGGAGTCTTGCCCTACTACTTACTGTTAAATTATGCCTATACACAAAATTTAAATGAAATTCTTTTAAGTTGTAATGTCAAAAAAAAAAAGAAAAGAAAAATGTATATAATAAACAGAAAATTCAAGTTTTTCTATAAATACATGATTTATTTTCATCTTGTGGCATGAAAATTATCATATGTTTCACATGTGGCTACTCATAAAATAAATTATTAATTTTTATTCCATTCGATGAAAATAATTCACATATTTTTGGAGAAAAAAACTCGAATATCCTCTGTATATGCAATGAAATATTATTTAACAGAAATAATCGTATACATTTTTTTAAAAATTCACATCAGGGTTTTTCAGATAGAATCTACGTAGAAGATCTGGTAAGATCTAGGGTTTTTTTTTTTGCATTATGATTTTAAACAACATACTATTTCTTTAAAAAGGAATCTATACATGTATGCTTATTGTGTGTGTGTTTTATTTTTAAGTGGTCGGCTTGACACAGGTCTAAGCACACGGCACATTTACCTTGAATAGACTAGTCTGACCGAATGCGCCTTCGGAACAACTCGCATATTACCGACAAGCGGTGTAACAGTAAAATTATCCACCGGTCATGCTATCTGGTAACAATTTGGTCATTTATTCATATTTAAAGAACATTGTTTTTAAAAAGTAGAGCTTTACATAAAGCTATGCTGAAATATAAAAGAAATATGTAAATTAGAAAAAACTGTTGACGCTGTTCTAAGGAAAAAATAGAGGACACATGTTGCAGTTGCATAAGCTTCACCCCACCCACTTTGTGTAACACAACATAGTGAATAAGTTGCGTTAAAAGATAGTTATTTAGTTATTTTGACTGTTATTTATCAAAAGTTGTTCAGTATCTTTGAATCAGACAAATTTTACATGTTCACTATTGATATTAAACTCCATGTGATTATCAAATGGTTGTGAATGCACAAAGACCCCATGTCTGGAGAATTAATTTTTGTTAAATTGTCACAACTTTGCTTATTTAACAGTATGACCTAAAACCGGATAGGACTGTCACTCCTATAGGTGGATAGGACTTTACATACCTGAAAGGACTAATATGAAATTAGGCAAAGCCTATGAACGAGGAAGTCGTTAAAAAATTCCTTTCATTCTTTCCGTTTTAAAATTGTCATTCGGTATTACATGCACCGCTTCTGTTTTCACTCGGAACACTCAACGTTTATTATTCATCCGAAAAGTTGAGATTTGTTCCATTATCGGAATACTCCGCCTTTTATCATTGAGTTACATTGTAAATGGCGGCGCCCGACTAGAACTGACACTGAAAATTTCATTGATAGGTATAGAATTCCATATATTTTTTAATTGTTTTTTATTTGATTTTCTTTTAAATATACACGTGTAGTCTATAGCCGGGCAAGCCAAAGCCCGGACCCGCTTCGCGGGCTCGGTCTTTGACTTCTCGTTATATTTTTCGAAGTTGTTGATAAACCTTTCCGGTCCATTTACATACGTATGATGGAGTGGTTAAGATCGTTAACTTCAAACCACTTGCCCCTCACTGCTGTCAGTTCGATCCCAGTGGGTACTTAAGATTCCTTTATGGGAGGAAGCAATCCAACAAACTTATAGAATGGTTATAGAATGGTGAATGTTGTTGGCTCTACTCGGGTGCCCGTTTGCGCATTTGAAGTCTTCCTCTCCTAGTAAAGCTAGAAAGTTGCCATAATGACATATAATTTGTTGATGTGACATAAAATCCAATCTTAATATTCTTAAAAGAAAATATATGCTGTGGTCTCCAGGGATCTATGGTCTCCACGGATCATGTTAGGGGGCTATTTCTGCAATTTCTCACTTAGAAAAATCACCAAAATTTCAAAGAAATTAAATAAGAGAAAATCTCGCACAGCAATTTGACGCAGAATATCGGTCTTTTCTTCACTTAAATTTCATGTTTAAATTTATATTTGTAAGAATTTTTCATAGTCCAACACATATAATTTATAAATCGTTAATTGGTAGATCTATAAATCTCTGCATGTCAATTATATGCTCATTATAATTATGTATTCACATGTTCATTGAATTATATCAACAGGTGAGTTTCACATCTCTAAAAATATGATGCGCCAGGAGTAAATGTTTCATTTGTTTAAATTAAAATTTTGATTTCTTTTTTATTTTTCCAAAATAATGAATGATTTTTCTCAATTTACTCCAGGGGCCTTTTCCCGGAAATTGTTTGATATGTATCAATATCATTAATCTTTTAATCAGTCTGAGTGAGTGAGTCATCATTAAATCTGCCAGAAATATGATAGATAAAAACTAGATTTGTGTTTAATTATTCAGAATGTGAAAAGTATGTGTTAGCAATGGACTTCATAATCCATAAATTCTTAGTCAGTGGTACATGTAGTCCCTGAAGTGTTGACAAATGACTTTTGTGTTTGAATTGATAAAAAATTACAGTTCTAAAATATATTTCAGTGGTACTTAATTTGACGTTGATAATAACATATAGAAAATTCACCCCATATGCTGATATTCCCCCTACTGTCAAGGGTAGTAACCCACTTCCCCAATAATTGAGGGCTGTAGGACTGTTGAAGTTCAAAGCATCTCAATTCCAATAAACAGTTAAGGTTTTAAACATGTTACTTGTTTTCTTTCAGGACTTACGAGGTTGCGAGGATGGGCGTCAGGGGTGCAGGCGGTACGTTTACTTACAGCACAAGCTGATACCAAGGTGGCTGTAGATAAATCACTCCTCAGCAAGTTACGGAAAAAGACCGGTTACCCAATGATTAACTGTAAACAAGCTTTAGAACAGTTTAACAATGACATAAAACAGGTTATTATCATTTGTACTTATGAATAATTTATTAAGGCCGCAGGGTTGTCATTAAGATATTTAGGTTTATTAAGGTTTATTTTGTTATTGAGGCAGTTATTTTTGTTTTTATCACATATAATAAAGAGTGTTTTCTTAGTTTTGAGGTGGCCCAAATTGCATTTGAGACAGTCATTTTGGCCTCCTGCCGCCTCTTAATGACAACCGTGAAGGGTGCAACAATTGGCAGGGCTTTTTTTTCAGAGGTTGGGGGGGGGGGCGGGGATATATTTTCAAAAGGGGAAGAAAAAATTTTTTGGGGAGAACTGCATGATTTTAAAGGATTTTTCTTTTCTTTAAACTTCCCTTGCTATAGAAGGGGAAAAAACCCTGATTGGTCAAATCAAAATTATGATATCTTTGTGACGCTGAAACTGCTAGAGCTGCCATTGATTCAGTCCAAAACATACAATATATTGACATTTCAAGCTCAGAACTCAGGCTCTTGCAAACCAAGTAAAAAGGTAGGAGCTTGAAGAGGCGACTAACTCATTTAGTATTTACTCATTAATGTAAATTTACATAGTGAAAAGATATGTTACTAACAAATTAACTTAACTTAAGTTTAAGTGGATACTGCTGTTGAAAGTAATAGTTTAAAAAGATGCTATTCATGAATGTTCTTCATAGTTTTTTGCTCGACTTTTTTTTTTTTGAAAAAAAAAGTTGAGGTATTGTTATAGTCGCGGCGGCGTTGCCGTGCGCAAACTTGTACCTGGATCATAACTTTTTAATTTCTTGGTGTATTGTCTTCGTACTTGGCCACAACAACCCTTGGGACAAGACCTTTCAGTAGACCACACTAACCTTGACCTTCATCCATAAATGACCTTGACCTTCAAGGTTAAAAGTCCAAATTTTGCTTGTTCATGCTGTTATTGGCTGTAACTTTGTTATTTTTGAATGGATTGTCTTCAAACTTGAACATAATAATCTTCAAGGATATCCCTTAAAAATAACCCGACAGACCTTGACCTTCACTCATAAATGACCTTGACTTTGAAGGTCAAATTATTGAAATTTTCATGTTTTGGCTATTATTGGCTGTAACTTTGTTATTTTTGAATGGATTGTCTTCAACCTTGAACATAATAATCTTCAAGGATAACCCTTAAAAATAACCCGACAAAATTTGACCTTCACTCATAAAAGACATTGACCTTGAAGGTCAAATTATTGAAATTTTCATGTTTTTGGCTATTATTGGCTGTACTTTTGTTATTTTTGAATGGATTGTCTTCAAACTTGAACATAATAATCTTCAAGGATAACCCTTAAAAATAACCCGACAGACCTTGACCTTCACTCATTAGTGACCTTGACTTTGTTTTGGCTGTAACTTTGCTATTATTGAAGGGATCAACTTCATATTATAACAGAACATACTTAAGGACAAGACCTTGTTGTTTATCGTGACATCACCACATGACTTCACCACGTGACACCACCACATGACTTCACCACGTGACATCACCACATGACACCACCATGCGTCTCCACCACGTGACACAACCACGTGACACAACCACATGACACCACCACGTGACACCACCACGTGACACCACCACGTGACACCACCACGTGTCTCCACCACGTGACTCCACCACGTGTCTCCACCACATGACTCCACCACGTGACTCCAACACGTAACTCCAACACGTGACACCACCACGTGACTCCACCACGTGTCTCCACCACGTGTATCTATTTATAGAATTTTCTATTTATAGAATTGTGTGTTTCTATTTATATAATTTTCTATTTGTACAATTGCGTGTCTCTATTTATATATATATAAATTAGTATATTTATATATAAAAAATATATAGACAAAACTAATGTGACAAGACAGAATGATTAATTTTATAAAAAGGAAACGTTAAGATTTTGTTCAAACATTTCTTTGTTTGCTTTAAGAGAAAGTAAAAAGTTGAGCGTTGCCCCCGCCCGGCGGTGGCTCTTGTTAACTCATGAGTATACTTAAGAAGATGTTACTCATCATTGTTCTTCCAGCTAGATAATGAATGGCAAGAGTATCTACTTGGGTGTCAGATTGTGTCTTAAATAATGTACAGATGTCTTCCACCATCAGTGAAGCTGGAAAGTCGCCATATGACCTTTATGGTGTTGGTGCCACGCAAAACCCAACCAATTTTAAGCAGAAGTTTCTCATGAATGTACATGTACATAGTTGTTCCTTTATTATTTCAGTGGAGATTATTCATAAATGTATATAAATTATATGAATTTACATAATTTCAACAAATGTTATTTATAATTTTAATGGTGGTTTTTCAAGAATGTATGTTTTATGTATTTTAAGGCTGAGGCCTGGATGAGGGAGGAAGCACAGAAAGCTGGCTGGGCGAAGGCAGGTAAACTTGGTGACCGGCCCATGTCACAGGGACTTGTAGGAATGATACAGGATGACTCATCGGTTACTATAGTAGAGGTATTTATTGATAGTCATGCCAAGTTTTAATTGGTAGAGCTTCTCTTGTAGCTGAGGGGTTGCCTTTAAGGGTTGAGGCATCAGAATTGCAGCCAAAGTTTATCCCTGCATGATCGTAACAGGCGACTAAATGGGTTCGAATAACTGGAGTCAGTGCATCTCTTAGCTCATAGTAGGTGAGATGGTTTTGGCCCCTGGTTTTGTTTTATGTTAGTAGCCATCGAGGTTAGTCAAAATCATCTTTCCTTTTCTGAGGCCATATGACCTCAGTAGTGTTTTGCATCGTTAAAGCAAACAAACAATTGGTCGTTGGTAGTGCATATATTATTAATTTGTTACTATATAAATATCACATAGCACTGAGGGTGAAAGAATGAAATGTTAAACCGAGACCAGTAATATCAAACTGAGATGTTAGCCAAGGTAGACTTTACCTTGTCAAGATTGAACATTTCATTTTCTGTGATTATCTTAGTATTCTTACTTGATTGGTACTGGCCCGGCTTTCACTAACGTTCTCAAACTGAGATATATCTCAATTTAAGATTGTCTCAATATTGACTGAGATTCTTACTCACCTGAGAAAAATCTCAAGTTGGCTTTCACTAAACTTTTTCTCAACATTTGAGAATTTTCTCAACTGAGACTGTTTTTTTTTTCTCAAGACATAAGCGGCTATCTTAATGTACATTGTTGATGGGCTTCTATGACTAAAACATAGGGTGTTCCTTTTTGTTACGTAGTATATCATGTATATATTAATATAGTTGCTGTTTTGATGTAAGATGATGCAACAGGGAAATGTTTTGTATATTTATTACATTAAGAAGATCTATATTTTTTTGTTTTATTTAAAAAGAACAACAACAAGAAACAATGACAAAAAAAAAGCAATTGCAAATGTGTGAATATTTGAATGCTTATGAAAATGAGTTATCAAGAATGAATGTACATCAAAAGAAAACAATATCATTTTTAGTATGATAATGGTGACGTCATAATTTCATGACGTCATGAATTAGAGCGCATGATGTTACCCACAATAATCAGTCAATATAATTACTAAATATATGAAAATTATAGGAATTTAATTGCCAAAAAGGTCAAATTATGTTTATTTATCAAAATAACCATGCTAAAAGTAAAAATACCCATAATAATAATAATTTAGCTTCACTGAGACATAATCTGAGACAGCCAAACCTTGTCTCAATATATCTGAGAAAAATCTCAAATCTTAAGTTGAGATTTTTCTCAATATTTTTTAGTGAAAGCCAAACTGAGAAAAATCTCAATCTCAATTTCTGATTTGAAATTTTCCTTTGAATGGTTTTTTGTTCAGATTTGATGACAAGTTCATTTGAGATAACGGGAATTAACAAAGTTAATAATTTTTACAATTTCAGGTAAATTGTGAGACAGATTTTGTGGCAAAGAATGAGAAATTTCAAGCTTTAGTGACCCAAATTGCAGAGGCATGTCATAAAAACATGACTACAAGAAATGAAGATAAGGTCAGTGGTTAGTGAGTTTTTAGCTCGAATTTTTTTTTTTGAAACAAAAAGTAGAGGTATTGCTATAGTCGCGGCGGCGTTGCCGTTTTCGTTGCCGTCCACATACTTGTACCCGGATCTTAACTTTTTTATTTCTTGGTGTATTGTCTTCATACTTGGCCACAACAACCCTTGGGACAAGACTTTTCAGTAGACCACACTAACCTTGACCTTCATCCATAAATGACCTTGACCTTCAAGGTTGAAAGTCCAAATTTTGCTTGTTCATGCTGTTATTGGCTGTAACTTTGTTATTTTTGAAAGGATTGTCTCCAAACTTGAACATAATAATCTTCAAGGATATCCCTTAAAAATTACTAGACAGACCTTGACCTTCTTGACTTTGAAGGTCAAACTTTTGAAATTTTCATTTTTTTGGCTATTATTGGCTGTAACTGTTATTGTTGATTGGATTGTCTTCAAACTTGAACATAATAATCTTCAAGGATAACCCTTAAAAATAGACAGACAGACCTTGACCTTCACTCATTAATGACCTTGACTTTGAAGTTCAAATTATTGAAATTTTCATTGTTTTGGCTGTAACTGGCTGTAACTTTGCTATTATTGAAGGAATCAACTTCATATTATAACAGTACATACTTAAGGACAAGACCTTGTTGTTTATCAAACACTTGGGCTCTTGCGTGTTTCTATTTATAGAATTTTCTATTTATAGAATTGTGTGTTTCTATTTAAAATATATAGACAAAACTAATGTGACAAGATACACCGATTTATTTTATAAAAAGAAAACGTTAAAATTTTGTTCAAACATTTCTTTGTTTGCTTTTAGAGAAAGTAAAAAGTTGAGCGTTGCCCCCGCCCGTCGGTGTCTCTTGTTCAATTTTCAAAACAACTGGGGAAAATAAACCTGAAATCAAATTTCAACAACTTAGAATGGAATTTACTAACATTTTTTTATATATAAATTTTTCAAAATCAAGTCAGTTTAACATGCATGGTACATAGCAGAGGCTTTCTATAGGGACAGCTTCCGGTCTTTCAATCTTTATCAACTTACTGATACAAGTAAGCTACTGTTATGTCAAGGTTCTGGCAAAATTGTCTGATTGTTGGTTTACTATCAGACTCTGAGAAAAGTTAAGCATGCTATGCTACTAACAGCTCTTGTTTATTGCTACGGTATTCTAAAAATTTACTAGGGACATCTTTTGGGTTTTTCTTACTTTTATTGCAGAAATTTATTCATGAAATCTGGTTATTTCTTACAGAATATCTCTAATTTGAATTAGGGACTGCACAAACTTTGTTTAGGAAGTTGCATTCTGTATTACTGATCAAGTTAATTTGGTCCTGGAGAAAAAAAAAGTGCCAGTATTTTAATGACACTCAAAATGTATTTATACTGTTTTTACCTAAAGTGTGCAGTGTAACAAAAGTGTAAAGTGTGCAAAATGTAACTTGTCTTTTTTTGTGTGTACACAAAATATTTTTATTTTACAATTTAAGAAAGACTGTAAAGCAATTATCAATATTTTTCTTTGAAATTAAATTTAAGCATAATATATTGACAATAATGTTTATTGGATTTCAGATGTTGTTAGAAAAGGAAACATTAAATTCTCTCAAAGATGGTGAGAAAACATTAGCAGATTATGTTGCCTTGGAAATTGGGAATTTAGGTGAAAATATAGCATTACGAAGAGCAGCTTTTGTTAGAAATGATCCATCAACTGTGATGAGCACATTTGTTCATGTTGCAGGTAAGTTAATATGTTAGTAAATTGATATGTTAGATAAGGGGGGAGCAGTGTCCTGGTGGTAAAGGTTTATGTCTCTCAGCCCAGGGATCATAGGTTCGATCATGTTTTTCCTCATTTGACAACTTGTAAGTCACTGAGGGCTGCGTCTCTGATTGAGTGGTTAAGGTCATTTACTTTAAATCACATGCCACTGACTCAGCGTTGTGGATTTGAATCCCATCAGCACTTTGGATTTTTTCATGTGAGGAAGCTTTCAAAAACATAAAAACTTCTAATTTGGGAATAATGTTTAAATAATGCATTGATTCATGGTATAAACATCTTAATAAGTCTAATATTTTATTGTCTCTATTTATATGGTAGTGACAGTTTTGTTAATAACTACAATTTGACAATCGTAAATTTGCATTAGGCAGTTGTGCTGTACTTTTTGGCTGAATGGGGCCCAATAACGACCCCACATCTGCATGTAAAACATACTGACCAATGATATAATACGAATTTAGAATAAAAAATCATTTTGTTTTTGTATTGAAGGGTATACACAATGCATAAACCTTAATTTATAGCTTATGCTGTTTTTTTCAGGTCCAGAGATTTCAAAAGATAGATGTAAAATGGGCAAATTTGCAGCTATAGTGAAAGTCGAAGTTCCTGACACTGAAAGCATAGCCAAAGAACTTTGTCAGCATGTGGTTGGTATGAACCCAACGGAGATTGGAGAATGGGATATCAAACCAGTGGATAAAAAAGAGGCAAAGAAAAAGAGGAAAGAAAACGTTGAAGCTATCTCTAATGAAAGACCAGAGCCTGTGGAAGTTAAGACACTACTAGATCAGGAGTTTTTACTAGAATCTGGTGTCAGTGTTAGAAAGTATCTACAAGACTCTGGACCTAAAGTGTTAGATTTTATAAGAATAGAATGTGGTGAGGAGCTAGGTGAAGATGATTGAAGTTTAGTGTTACATAATAATTGAAACAATGTTGAAGAAATTTATAGTTTTGAATTTTTCTTAAGTTGCCAGTATTCATGCAAGAGGATTATAATTAATTAAAATCTGATTATATATGAATGTATATATTATGTTTATATGTTTTAAGAAAAAACTATGATGGTTAAGAATAAGAAGCTGTAAAAGTGAATTTGTCTATATCAAATTGAATTTCTTATTGTCCTACTAATTATTAGTCGAAACTTTAAATCTCCATTAACTTAAAGAATTTCTTAAATGGACATTGGCCATAAATTAGAAGAGTTGTTTTAAATGGCCTTGTTCTTCTGGATCTTAAAAATAGTTTGTCTAATTTGCTTGAAAGTTAGAGTTAATGTGAATATGGAAACAAGAATGAGTAGGTTTCCTAAAAATCCACTTGGGGTTTTTTAAGTTCACTTTTCAAAGAAAAAAAAGGAGTGCTATTGTCAGGACCCTCTTGTTGATGTTGGTTAACTTTTCGTTGAAGCAGCATGCCCCCAAAATGTTTCAAGAAAATCAAACATGAGTTTTTTTTCATATTTTTTTCTGCATGACTTTCTCAGTAAGGGCTATTTTGCATATTTTGACATCTTTTCGATAATATGTGTGGATTGTAAATGCCATTTACAATATGGTAATTACTTGCTTTGTTCGCAGTATTTCACTTTTTCAATTTTCCTTAGTTATGTCCCCGTTTTTACTTTGAATCTGGAATTGAAATATTTGCCTAAGAAACAGAAAAGCTATTTACTTCAAACTTGATATCTTTGTTGACCGTCAAGCATTGAGCACTAAGCCTGTTTGCAGAATTATGCCCCCTTTCCTATATATTCTCTCTTCCACTTCCTAGAACTGAGAAAAGTTGAGCTGCTGTAAATTGGCACACCACGTTAGCTATTTTTTGGTTAGGAAAATTGCATCTTCTTAAAAACGCATTCGTTTTTAATCTGGATTGCTGTGAATTATGAGGCAGAAGCATTTCTTTCACGATGAAACAGTACATTTCAAAAATAAATTCGCCCGGGGGGGGGGGGGTAATTTGATTTTATAGAATCAAGTAGGAAAGTCTTTAAAGAGTTCTTCGCTATAAATGTAAAGCATATAGCTTTGTTATTAAGTTTATAATTGTATATATAGCATTTTGAAAAGGGGACCAGAACTAAATTAAATCATACACTTGCGTAAAAACTGGCCAGTTCCTGGGGACATCTTATAATAGCGTTTGATATGTTAGATTGACTAATCTAAAAAGGTTTCGCCTTTAAATGACCAAAATTTTGTAATATGTTGTTTAAATAATATGCATCTGCTCCCACGAAAGGAAAAAATATGATATAAAAAACGATGAATGCATTTTATGCCACCGCAGCATCTGCGATGCGGTGGCATATAGTGATTCACCTGTGTGTGTGTGTTTGTGTGTGTGTTATATAGATTATATAGTGAACTTAAAAAATCTTCTTGTGAAAAACCACTAATCCAATTTCAACCAACATTGGCAGGATTGTTCCTTGGGTGATGGGCTTCCAAAGTTGTTCAAAGAATTTCATTCCATGCAGAAATCTGGTTGCATGGCAACCAAAAGGAATTATAAGAATAAATTTAAAAATCTTCTTGTAAAGAACCAAAAGACCTAGAGCTTAGATATTTTGCGTAAGGCATTGTCTGGTAGACCTCTAACAAGATTGTTCAAATTATAGCCCTGGGGTCAAAATTGGCCCCGCCCCGGGGGTCATTGATTTTCACTATATACATATAGTAAAAACTTAAAATACCTTCTTGTTAAAACCCAAAAGGCCTAGAGCTTAGATATTTTGCATAAGGCATGATCTGGTAGACCCTTACCAAGATTGTTCAAATTAAAACCCTTTGGTCAAAATCGGCCCCGCCCCGGGGTCATTGATTTTCGTTAAATGTACCTATAGTAAAAACTTAAAACACCTTCTTGTAAAGACCCAAAAGGCTTAGAGCTTAGATATTTTGCATAAGGCATTGTCTGGTAGACCTCTACCCAGATTGTTCAAATTAAAGCCCTGGGGTCAAAATCGGCCCGCCCCAGGGGTCATTGGTTTTCCTTACATGTATATAGTAAAAACTTTAAAAAAATTCTTCTAGCAATTGACAAATGCTAGAGGTTAGATATTGTGCATGAAACATTGTGTTGTAAAACTCTAGCAAGGTTGTTCAAATTATAGCCCTGGGGTCAAAATTGCCCCCGCCCTTGGTCATTGATTTCAATATATACATATAGTAAAAATAAAAAAATCTAATTGTCTGAAGGTACAAGGCTAAGAGCTTTAATATTTGTTAAATGATATCATCTAAAGGTACTCTACCAAAGTTGTTCAAATTTTGCCTCTTGTGTCAAAATTAGCCCCGCCCCTGGGAGCCATAGGTTTATCCGATATGTATATTGTTAAAACTTCAAAAAATCATTCTCTAAATTTACAAAGGATAAAGTTAAGATATTTTGAAACATTGTGTAGTGAACCTCTAGCAAGATTGTTCAAATTATAGTCTGGGGTCAAAATTGGTTCCGCCCCGGGGGTCATTGATTTTCATTATGTACATATAGTGCAAAAAAATTTTTGTCTAAAGGTTCAAGGCATAGCGCTTTGATGTTTGATATATAATATCATCTATAGGTCCTCTACCAAAGTTGTTTAAATGTCAAAAATTGGCCTTGCCCGGGGGGGGGGGGGGGGGGGGGGCAGTGATTCTCATTATGTACACCTAGTAAAAACAGAAAATAAAACAAATATTTTCTGAATGGGGAAAAAGCTATAGCTTAGATATTTGACTTGAAATGTTGTTTGGTGGACCTGTATCAAGATTGTTATTAAACCCTTGGGTCAAAATTATGCCTTGCCCAAGGGGCCAGTGACCTACTTTCTTGTCCTTTGATGTACAGCAATGACATTTTGACCATGTGCACAGTTTTAGTTGTAAAATTTAACTTTGACCTAGATTTTGACGATGTGACCTACTTTCTTGTCCTTTGATGTACAGCTATGAAATTTTAACCATGCGGTGGCATAGTATTTTTCTCAAATACAATCTTGTTTCATGACCACGTGGCGAGACATATATACTACAGGATAATATATACATGTATTGCATTTATTTTGGGAGCTATTTTAAGACATTGCTGAATCAAACTACATTCATGTAAAATAAATTGTTGAAACATTTCATTGAGTACTATAACTATGAATTAATAATGCTTTTAAATTTAATAAAAAAATCCTGAAGTGATAGAATCTTGGTCAGCTGATATGGAAGTTCAATTTAGCAGCTGAAACTATGCATACTGCCTAATTTTCATAGCTGTCTCAACATATAATAAAGAGGACCAGAAGGTTAAATGGCAATTAAAATTAATTGAAAAAAGATAGGTCAGCTGATGTAAGTGTTCAGTTCTGCAACCGTGTGTTTGTTGTTGATATCGCATTTTAACAGATTATTAGTCACATGTAGTCCTACCTTACCGGGCTATCTGGATAACTAACCAGTAATAATCACTTCTATGCATATGATCGCCTACTCATTTGATGTGATTGAGCGACGAGAAACAAAGAATGGGCCATAGAGCTCGATGTTCCAGATCAATTTTCACGAAAAAATTTCGTCACCTTTGAAAATCGAACCAGCCGGCTCTTGATTACAAATCTGACGCTCTAAAAGCAACCCCTTGGACACTATGTATCTATCTTCCATTAAAGTCAAACCCCTCGCGGTGACGTAAACATATATGCGCGTCGACTCAACATGCATGTGATCAAAATATTAAGCTGTATTTCAAAATACAAAAAAAAATTGTACCTAAAAGTTCACCGAGTCAAAATGAAATATTAAGAACCAAGTTCTAAGCATAGGGATTTGGTAGAAGAAGATGATAATATTTAAAATGAAGTTATCTCGGGTGGACTGATATTGCAAAAAATAGTCAAGGGCCCTAATATCCCGAACCTCCTTTCGCTTCTTTCGCATTTTACTTAAATACATAGATGAAAATGCTACGTTGTTTACATTAAAGCAGCACGCCTACAGATGATTCATGCTTATTTTCATGAAATTTGAAAATGTATTTAACAGTATAATGTTGTGAAGTTACCTAAAGAGTGCAATTAACACATTATCAATGACACTTACAACTCATGTAAATTACCATAAAGAGGTCACAAATAGCCCTTACTGCGTTAGTAACGCAGTAGAAATATAGTTATAATTACTGAAAAATCAGTCATTAATCGCACATAAGATGAAAATTATTACTAGAATTTTGAACTTTATATTTTTCCTAAAATCTTAGTACTTTTTTCTCAGGTTTATCTCATCTGGAGGCGTGCAGGTTTAAGCTACTTTCATGGAAACAATTTTCGATTAAGAGCTACTTTATGATGCAGATTATAAGTTATTAGCAAGATCTACCATATTTTCAACGATGTAAAATTCAGGAAGAAGGAAAATTGTACTTATTTATGAGGTACAGCGTGCCTTTAATAATATTTTTTCTTTTAGATATATTGTCTTCCGAAAGACTCCTACAGTACAATCGTACTTGTATTATAAAAAAGGATTTGACATTTGGTTTATTATTTTTCTGTTTTGTAAAAAAATAATAATGTAAAAGCACTCATTTGTACGTCAAAACGTGATTCTAAATCGCTCAAAAATGCAATTTTTGTTAAGTTATTGACTTTCATCACGAAACAGAAACTAAATAACGATATGTAGTGTCAAAAATTGGCTCATGACTACGTCGGCTTATTATGTCACGCGTTAGATATGTGTCTCCAGTTCTCGCGAGGCAATGATAGGTGTTTGAGTAAAAAGGAACAGAAATCATACTTTATTCAAATTGCTTTTTTGGTAAAGTGCATTTATTTATCCAGTAAGTACAAATTGCATATTTTTTTATGATTTAGTGTTTGTTATCTGTAGAAAATGAAATTGTTATTAATTACAGTTAATTACATAAGTCTAAACTTTTTTATTTGGAATTAAAAAATAAATGATAGAAAATAAATTTCAAGTCTCGTCTGAGTCAAAATAATCTTGAGCTGCGCGACTTGAACTCACGACTAGCGGTTCATACGGCATGAATATAATTATGCAAACATATATCGCTCTAGCACTTTCAGAGTCAATTCGTTGCTGCGTTTGTTAGAGATTGCTTATGATATTTCAAACAAGACAAGTCCGCCTAAATACGTAACTTATGGGCTTTTCTTTTATCACTTTTGTTTGACAGTGCTTTCTCTTTAGGACCCTATTAGTGCAAGCTAATATAACAACGTGCTCAATGTAATATTTTCATTATAATACATTAGTTTGTATATTTTGTTCTTTTAGTATATATCTTCACACTCAATAATGATGACAAACAAGATATATACCTTGGGTGCCATGGTTATTGTTGTCATGGTTAAAGAAGCCGTACTTGCGCCAGTCGTAAATGAATCGTTACCCGGAAAACCGCTGACTGATATGGGCAAAAGATTGAATATTCCACATCTCCAACTGACTGGCGAGGTCATCAATCATTTAGCTCATGATTTACGCCAGGAAATGGCGGAGATTTGTCGTCTGCACCCGTCTTCTTTATGGACAAGCTGGTCAAGATGCAAGTTTAACGAACCAGGAAAATATGGCCAATACGGAGCATCAAACCGGTCAAGAAATTGTGGATTTAATACTTCACTTTGCAAGAGGTACGGGGATCGAAATATGGAGCACGAGCAAAGAATTTGTAAATGCAAAGATGGGTATACTGTTACGAAGCATGGGTATTGTCTAAAATACTTTAAGAAGTATCTTTCGTATACCAATGCTAAGAGTGAGTGTCATAAGGAAGGTGGATCTCTGGTAAATGTGGGCTCTAAAAACAAAAAAGAAGACGTGACATCCGTAATGAAAGAGATAACATCTTCTGCAACATTGTGGGTAGATGGACAGAAATCCTCATCAAACGGTAAATGGAATTTTGAGATTTCGCCAGAGGACCCGTCTTTCAGTTTCTGGTTTTCAGGGAGGCCGGGTTCATATACCTGTATGGCAAATACATTAACCGGTAATGTCCTATATATGTACGACAAAAGTTGTAGTAATTGTCTATCATACATGTGTGAATTTATTCCCTAGATAAAGACAATATACATGTATAAATAGCTGCCGGTTTCTTTTTGCCGCGCCAGTTTTTGGCAAATTCAACCCCTATTTTTACGTGCTTTAAAAAAATGAAAACTATCTTAAATTGTCATATTTACTTAAAGGTTTAAAAGTTAATATGTTTTGTTTTTCTATCTTTAATACTTTTTTGTAAAAATGCATTTAAAGTTTGCATTTGCCATGGCAAAGTGTGTTTTGCCATGGCATTTCGGCATTTTGCCATGGCAAATAATTTGCCATGGCAAATTAGAATTGCAATGGCAAGGTTTTTCCTACTTTTGCCATGGCAAATTTGCCATGGCAATTATTTTTTTTAAAACATCACAAAACATTCTAAAACTTATCCTATGACATGTTATTGGTGCTATTGTTATGTTTTTATTGTAATCTCTAATTTTTTTTTCATTTTGCCATGGCAATTTTTTGCCATAGAAAATGCCATGGCAAATTTCTGCCATGGCAAATTTGCCATGGCAATTCCATGGCAAAAAATTTTGCCATGGCATGTCCATGGCAAAAATTTTGCCATGGCAATTGCATAAACGTTTTGCCATGGCAAAATATTATCAAAAAAAAAAAAAAATTCTTTGAATTTTTTTTATAAATTTATACATGGCAAATGACATATTAAGGAATATAATGTTTAAAATTTTTAA